TTTAAATGTAAGCAATGAGTGACAGACCCTTCAAATGCACACAACTTGCCATACATTAGACGTAAACAAACCACAGAGACATCTGACATGACATCAAGTACTCGCTGTATATCGCAAACGAAACACACATTCTCTACAGAATATTCTATGACATCCTATCCATCGAAGCATTTCATACGGTAACAGTTATCTACAAAATGATGTGGGTTATTTTTATTACACTCATTTTAATTAAGAATTTATTGATAATGTATATTCATAGAGTAAAAACTTTGCCATTACGTGAAAGTGACAAATATCACAAATATTGGGAGATTTCTTAAACTTGGACACTTTTTAAAAACAATTTAAATAATAATTTTTATAATTGTTTTTCATTAATAAGTATATTTAAATCTACATTTTAAGTTATGATTTATAACAAATATTACTTGTTATTCTTATAATTTATTTGTAAAGAATAAAACAAAAATTAAATTTAATGTTAACTCTAAATCTAGATGTAGGATTTAAATATTACTGTATTAATTTATCTAAATAGTATTTTAATATAAATTTCTATTTAATAATTAACTTTATCAAATTAACCATTGGTAACTCAATCCCGTAATCATACTGACACAGCCTATGCTAGATCAATTAGTATCAAGTTCTTAAAAGTTTACTAATAAATTGAATTTGAAAATTGCTATTGATTTATAAGCACATAAGAAATTTGTTAGATTTATATTTTAAAGTTGGAGAGACTATTCATTCAATTTTACGTCGATATCTAATATAATAAGAATTTTCAATATAGTATCACAGAAAAGTAGTACAGTATTAATAGATAGTAAAATTATTATCACGAATACATTATATAGAAAGTATACAATACGTTCAGTGGTCTAATGTGTTGAATGCATACAATTCTTCATTCAGTCATTTATTCTGCTTTTGATAAATGAATTTTGTTTAAAATAATGTAAAATAGCACTAATATAATACATTACTATAGTATTAAACATTAATCATCATTAAATATACTCGGATACATTTATCAGTTTTAATATTCTTTGCGATATAAAGCAAGTGTTGGGAGAGAGAGAGAGGGAGAGAGAGAGAGCTATAGTGGATGTGATGGTAATGTAGAGAAAACCCCTTTAAATGCGATATTTATTTGGTTTACAATAGACTTGTAATGAAGTGAACGATAAGCCCATCGATTGATACAAATAATTGTGGTTTTAATGAACAAAACCAAACATTGAGTCAATTGTATCGCAATTGCCATCAAAAGAGACATCAATTGTCACTGAGTTTGCCATCAATTGAGTGAATGTCGAGATAATCGCAACATTTCTTGTATTTATTGTTGGATTCAAAGGCAATCATATATTTATCACTAATTATTTCTAAGATTATCGCAAAGCATGTCATCTCAAGAGGCAACTGATCCTATTGTAAGTGTTTGTCATACCATTGAACACACATCTCATGATCTATTCAATCAATTGGTGACAGAATGTGACGAATATGTCGACCAAAGAGGAGAAGGAAGAGGAGGAGAAGCTGAGGGCGAAGTACCCACACGTCCAGAGACCCGGCCCTCAGTTTCTTCAGAAGCGACTTCAAAAGGGGGTCCGAATTGATGAGATCTTCGTGTCATTTGTGACATCAATTAACGAGTGTTTTATTTGTTGTCTTCACAGCAAAAGTTCTTTGATTCCGGCGATTATAATATGGCGAAAGCGGCCGCAAAGACATCGAAACGCTTGCCTGAGTCCAAGCTGTCGGCCGTTCACATCCCGGAGCCATCCATACCGACTCCCATACCCACGGGTGACACCATCCCTACGCCCGACTGCTTGGCCAACAGGAAGACGTCGATCCACGTGCAGAGCAAACTGGTGTCCGGCGCCCCATAACAGCCACACTCGTGGGTCGCCCTTCCGGTCACGGATTGGACGCCAAAGTCATTACCGAAACTTGAATTTTATTTTCACCTCTTTTTGTACAGTTTTACGGCTCAACTGTTTTATGTTTCGATGTTTTTTAACGCGATTCTTAAGTTTTATTCAGTTTTATTTCATTGAAAACTCACTTTTATATTAAGTTTTTTCTGTTGAAAAATACTTATCAATATTGAAAATCAAGTTTTATTTCCGCAAACGAAAAGTCACTTTTATTTATAGTTTTTATTTCAAGTGTTTTTGTTATGTTAAACGTTAATTGAAATAATAATAATAAATGAAAGCCCTTTGGTGTGTAGTATTTGATTGCAAATACAGCTAATAATCACTCGTTGTTAAGCATGTTTTACAAAACAAACACCCATTTTATGTCCAAAATATTTAGCCATTGATTTCACATTTAACCGAAAATATGTTGTAAAACATAAACACAACTAAATGAATGCTATATACAGTATATTAATATGTATTGAAGTGATTGTGAGTAATGGACATAAGTTTAGACACGATTTAGTATATATTTGTGTAAATATTTTCCAATTGACTGTAAATTCCTTTGAATTGATGAATGAATTTGTGTCATTTGATCGCCGAATGTCTTTATACCGAATATACAGTACTTATCAATAAAATAGTGAACCAAACGATTCAGTACTCAGTTATTCATTGCATTCAAAAATGTCTATTTATTTAACAATTAATTTTACATTAATTAAAGTACAATAAGTTAATGTTTGCGATAATGAGTNTGTGTTTCGTTTGCGATATACAGCGAGTACTTGATGTCATGTCAGATGTCTCTGTGGTTTGTTTACGTCTAATGTATGGCAAGTTGTGTGCATTTGAAGGGTCTGTCACTCATTGCTTACATTTAAAGGTCTGCACAGACTTGCGATCCACTCATCAATGGTTTGATGTTTGCGTGTAATTAGTGCTCAATTGAAAGCATTGATCACTTAATTCACATCAATTGCCATCCCTTTCGCATCACTCGTGGTGTTTGTGATCCATATATTGAAGCAATCAATCCATACATTGAATACAAGAGTGAGAAGTGTTGTAATCAATAGACAAACACTGATAACAAATTGGACGCCATTTGGACTCAACTTTAGACCAAATAATGGTTTCATTTATTACTTATTTTCTTGTCTTATATTTCAATCGATTTATAATTAAATGAATTAAATGTTTGCAAAAATTAATTTAACAAATGATTGGCGAAAGCAGTCATAAATAAAAGACACATTCGTTTGAATGACTCATTGATTGACTCATAACTGATGGCAAAATGTCTTTGCAGTCGACGCCTGAATATCTGAAAGGATTACCGGTTTTCGACGAAATGAATTTCAGTCGATTCCAGGCGGAGGGCTGTCGCAACTCGTCCTCTAAGAAGCCATCCGTATATCTGCCCACAAAGGATCACCCGTCGGAACAAAGTATGCCATCCATTGTACAGAGTTTGGGATCCATTGATTGACTCATTGTTTTGTATGAATAGTCATAACCACGGAAAAGACAAATATCTTATTGCGTTATCTTCACCAACAGTGGGATAAGAAGAAGGCCCTCAAGAAGAGAGAGACCAACGAAGACAACGAGAATGAGTCGCAAAACGCCAGGAAGAAGAAGAGGAATGACTCGCAAACCAATCAATAGCTGATATGATATTAGAATTAATTTAGTATTAATTAATTGAAGAATCACTTGAATGTCATTTCGATCTGTTTTTTATATCAATTATCCCGACTTTCATGTCTAACAACCATTTGATGACATTTTTGAATATTTATGCGGTTCCGAGTCATAAGTTATTGAGATTATCAACAAATTTATCAAATGAAATACAAATAAAACTAATTTCATGGGATCTCTTGGCTATAATATTAGATCTCTGTTCTCATTATCGCCGGCATTATCTTCAGCTAAGATACTGTTTGCCTCCGAATAGACATTTGATTCATTGGCTGTTGGCATGAGGTGTGAAGTTTTGAGTTGAGAGCGAATATAACTATAAAATCAATACATAATCATTACTACAAAGTTCTACTTTTGAATAAATGTTTGATTACATGAATATAGAGATTGCGATGATTTGCAAGGCAGCGGTTATTTGAAAACAAATGCCTGAATAGTTGTTAGTATTGATTGCATTCTTGTAAATGATTGGAAAGACTATTCCGCCCGAAAGGGTACATAAGTTATGAAAGAGTGTGAGAAATGCGAATATTTTTCCCCTTTCGTTGTGATCGACCAGTTTTGAGAGCAACGATCGGATCGCAGGCAACGGGTATTCACTGAATGTCAAGACAATGATCGACGAAAACATTGCGTAAGAATTGGTCGCAAAACCGATTAATATTAGGCCCAAAGTTCGCGACAATACGCCAATCATTGCGATACTAGTGTCACATATATTGCTTAACATATAGTATTGAGCCACAGGTAGGAGACAGAGGGCCAGACCTGTGGCACCGGACTTAAGGCCACTATAAAAGGCATACATCGATGTGTCCCATACTAGCGGTTCATTCCGGACGTACAGAAATAATAGACTCGTCAACACTTCGGTGCCATAAGTGACTAAAATAAAGCTCACAATCAATAGTGATATAAGTTTGCGATTATTCGCTGGTCTTCTCTTGAATACAGTTTGAATGACATTTGCAAACATAATGAGTAAACTTTTGGCACCAAATGTGTCCACTATTCCTCCACTTTGCGCATCATGTGACTCAACAAACCGTAATCTCATTGCATTGTAAACTAATATAAATGAATGAATGGTTGCATAAATGATAAAACATATGATATATCCATAAGTGGTAAATGTGTTGAGCATAAGACCAGTGACTAAAGAGCCCATAAAAGCGCCGCAAAAGATATTGGCCTCTAATATAACTAAACGTCGGGTCCTTTGCTTTGATTGGCTTTTGTCTGAAATAAAACCGAAACAATTGGCCAAAAAACTGGGGGAACCGCCGGACACACCACCCAAGAGGCCGCACAATATGATCAGTGATACTATGTTATGGTATGGACTCAATCGCAACGAAGAGATTATTAAAACAATTTGAGCGATGAATGAGAGGAGTGGCGGAACTGATAGCGGAACCACTCGTCCATAAGAGTCACCGTAAGAGCCACTGATGAATGAGCTGAAGATGGATGTGATGGCGAGGATTGCGTTATAAAAGACCAGTTGTTGACTCGTTTGCGACTCAATGGCNCAAAAGATATTGGCCTCTAATATAACTAAACGTCGGGTCCTTTGCTTTGATTGGCTTTTGTCTGAAATAAAACCGAAACAATTGGCCAAAAAACTGGGGGAACCGCCGGACACACCACCCAAGAGGCCGCACACTATTATCAGTGATACTATGTTATGGTATGGACTCAATCGCAACGAAGAGATTATTAAAACAATTTGAGCGATGAATGAGAGGAGTGGCGGAACTGATAGCGGAACCACTCGTCCATAAGAGTCACCGTAAGAGCCACTGATGAATGAGCTGAAGATGGATGTGATGGCGAGGATTGCGTTATAAAAGACCAGTTGTTGACTCGTTTGCGACTCAATGGCAATCAATGCATCACTTTTGACATTCTTGTCGATGAGACACTCATTTGTGTCCAGATATTGGACACAATTGTTGACAAACAGCAAGTCTTGAGCGCACGTGTATTCACCAAATATGGCAAACATGTAGAGGAAGGCTATGGGTTCTACTGTTATCAACTGAATCACATCCATCACATCCATGGCTTACAGACAATAAAGTATCGCAACAACAGCTCACAGATGACCATCACTTGTATCACACTATTATCATGTGATTCATACAAATGTCAACAAAAACTTTTTAATTCATTCATAAATCTAATGACAACTGACTGTCAGTCTGTTGTTTACTACAGGTTTATGCTATAAATGCATTCATTCATGAATTTCATGAATACAGATGTGGTTATAATGAATGCCTTATAATATTAATGCATTTAACAGTGCATTAGATTTACACAATCAGTGGGTATATCGTGATTTAAAGTTAGAATAATTGCACCATGGTAAGCGATAAATATATATATTTTTATTAATTTTTATAATTTACAAAAAGTTGTCGACGATTGGTTTAATTTATATTATTATAATTTGTTTGAAATATAATAATAATGAATGGATTTAGTCTATGATAATGAGAAAATATGAAATTAAAACCATTTGTAATTCCCATTTATGAACAAAAATGTTTGTTTGAGTTGCATATTGCAAATAATTATATATTTTAAATGATTTAACAAATCAGACATTGAAGTCCTGGTAAAAACTCAAACCTATTTTAAACTTAAATTCAAACATTTAAAAACTAAGATTTCAGTAAAAAGTTAACTATTTTCACATTAATTTAGATTATTATAAATGAAAACATATATATTAATCGTAATTATATAATTATAAACAACTTATAATCAAATATATTAATAATTTAAAAGTTTTATAGAAAGAGCGGATGAAAGTGTTTGATAATAAAATGTATAAAAATAGATATTAAATAAACCTGAAATTAAAACATTACAACAATTATTAACTAATTTGTCATTAAAAATGATTTACAGTTAATAAAGTTGTATAACAATTGATTTCATTAATTATTAAATATAATTTATAATTATATTTTGTTCAATAAATCAGTTTTGAATACGTTACGATATTTGTTAACTCATAATATAAATGACTTTTTATATTAATTATATAATTTATATTTTCATTTGGTTGACATTCAAATAAATACAATTTAGTCAAATATAGTGCACTCAATGTCATCACCGAAATATATAATAAGTTCATATTTATACTCCTTATAAATATTGAGTTATTTCTATAATTAATAAATATTCACTTTTATAACCCTTTTTTGTATTCAAGTAAATGAAAATAAGTTATTGTGATTTCATTAGAGTTATCACAGTTTCCTTTATTTTGTAAACTATTCTATGCATTGAATACCGGTATAAATATTAGGAATAATAACTCAACGACAGGACCGGTAGTTCATGACATCCAGTTTATCTTCAATTTATTAATACTTTTTCCTCTTGATAACTAAAACGACATGTCCTTCGGGCAACTTCTTGAGGAAATTCCAGGCCTCAGTCCTCGTCATATTAGACACCGAGTGGTCGTTAACTGTTATCACTTCATCACCAGAAGCTAGAGTTCCCTCTTTGTCGGCCGGCCCTCCTGTATATCATAATATGTTTTAGTTTTATATAATAAACCTTTAAATGAATTCTCTTAAGACTTGCCTCTGAATATCCTTTTGATGGCAAGGGGTCGGTCTCCGAGGGGTGAATCCTTTCCGCCCTCTAATATGAATCCCAGCCCAGCCACGTCTTTTTGAAGCTCTGCGCGAAGTATTTTGTAATTTATGTCACAATTGTTCTCTAAATCTTTAATTGAAGACAAATGAGTCGATGATATGATATCGTCGTTATAGCTGTGGAATGAGTTCCCATTCGTCGAGTCATTCAAATCGGAACTACTCTGTCGTGAATGGAATCCATTCTCAGAGGATATGTTTGGGTTGACTCTCGACAAGACAATCACCACTTCGGGACGGGGAGCCTTCATTATATCCAGTGCCTCCTTATGTGTCACTCCTTTCAAGATTTTGCCTAAAAATGTCATTTGTTTTAGTATTCAATACATTTTGAGCTGAAATTAATTGAAACCAACCATTAATGGAAAGAATGCGATCGCCTTTCTTTATCCTCCCGTCCCTATCAGTGAGACTTCCATTGATTACTCGATGGACCTAAAAGTTATACAATTTGTTTGAATCACTCAATAAGTTATTTATTTATAATATAGTAATCTTACAGTTATTTCTTTGGTCTCACAGTCTGAACCTCCGGCAAGAGTTATACCAATACTTCCACTCGATTTGTATTCGCGGTGAAGAACAACGACTTGAATGTTATGGTTATTGATGTCATTTGACTCCAACGAGTGATTCGCCTCATCTATCAGTTGCTGTAACTCTTGGGGCGATATAATACTCGTGGAGGAGGCCAGGGATGAGACCGATCCGTATTGTGAATCTCGTAAATTAGATGCAGAACTCGTTCGCTGTCCAAGAGATCGAACAGCTGTACCCGAACTGCTGGCACCGGAATCACTGGCTAAGGAGTCCATCGATGACATCCTCTGATGATTATCCATAACTGGTTCGTCAATATCGTGACTTTTATCCCAAATGACCACTTTTTCATCAGAATATTTGGCTTTACTTTTATCAATATCAGCGTTGGTGTCATTACAGCTCTTATCTTCACTCAAAATTATCTCTTTTACGCCATTTGTTTCGACTTTAGGTGTCTCAGTCTCGCCATCAGTTATCGCTTTGTTATCATTGTTTGTAATGGTTTTGATTGAATTCAAACTTGAGTTTGAATTACTCTTATTTGATTTGATTGAAGAAGTGTCGGTTCCATTGGTTTCGAATACTTTGCAGATATCGCTCACACTCCTAGACCTGGACGCCACTGAATTCTTCGACGAGTTGTCTGAACTATCAGATGATAAAGAGTCAGATCTCATACCCATCGATGATTTCGGAGATTCAAAGTCGTTGTTTAGTTCCATCTCTTTAAGGGTTGTTTCCATTTGTTTGATTTCTTGTAAAACATTTGAACCGACACTCGTATCTAATATCTTATGGACTTCAGGGTCAGGATTTGGAATCGGTTTCATAACTCTTGGCATAAGAGATGGTGGCATTCGGGGCGCCGCAGCGTTTGGCTTAGGAGGAAGTGGTGGCGCAACGCTCTGTCTATTGTTGACCACATTCTCTGAACCACTTCTTTGCTCCCATTTCTCTGCGAGAGCTCTGAAATTCTTAATGGATTCCGAG